ACATGACATCCCACTCCCGGATTGACAACTCAATTTCGCTTTAATTGTTTGTGCTCGTAATTGTTGTTATTGCTGGTAGCGAAAAGGATTTCATTGCGCTAATGATACTTTTAAGCCCCCAGCTCCTTAACATCACCGTAATTAAGTTGAGAGAAAAACAAGAATCCCTTTAGTGAAGTTCATCGACTTTGAGATAATTTTTACAAAAAGTATAGCCTGCACACAGGCGGTACATGGTAATTTTGGGTCTGTACACCTCTTAAACTTTTTTTGTTTTAAAAAACTGGATTACCAAAGTCTGCATCCCAAATTTCAACTGTCTAGCTTTAATACTTCCCGAGTTCTAAAAGGTCATCGATAGATAATGATCATTTTTTGGGTCAAAAACGGTTTTTTCTATTTGTAACAAACTTTTCCTTAAATACAATATACCCTTTTGACTGACATAAGACCTGAAAACCTGAAAATTTGCTGAAATTGTATGCGAAATTCCTGTGAGCCGAACTTCTGTTGAAAATTTTCGGCATATGTCGCATCTTTGCCTTCATTCCCAATCCCAATCCACATTTCGTATCTGTATCTTGTATCTGGTGGCGCCGCCGCTGGGGGTCCTGTCAGTCCCCCGATTTCTCCCCTTTTTTCGATGTCTCTGCGCCTGCGCATTCAGTTTAATTTTTATTTCATTTTCGCTGACAATTTGCAGTCGCTGACCATATATATATATATAAATACATATAAAAGTCAGGGAAAAAACATTTTTGCAGTGCGTTTTATTTAACGACTTTCGGTCCGGACGCATGTTGCACTTTGCTGTTGTTGCTGTTGTTCATTTGATTATCGCCACTGTCGCCATGTAATTTATTATATTGGCTTAACCGAGTACGCAACCTGGCCCTCTTTTTTATGGCTTTAACCTTTGGGCAACCGCCGCGTCGCTGACATTATTTAATTTGTCATTTAATTTTGTTTTGCCTTTTTTTGGGCTTTCTTTTGGGAATCGGGTTTTGTTCAACCATATGTTCTCCTTGAAATTTTGCAAGAAAGTTTGGTAAGGAAATATCTGTATATGTGCAGTGACAGATATATGTGCCACTGCGAGGTGTGTTTGACTTTTGGCACACATCTGTTATTTCCTTAAAAATATGGCTTTAACTCAAAGGGTTATACTTCCCAGACATTAAATTTGTTTTTATAAGTTATGGAGGGTTACAAAACAACCATACAAGTATGCCATATAAATACACTTTCCACTTTTGTGTTATATTTAATTTATTGATCAAATTCGCTTACCATTTTAATCATCTCCTGACCGGTTAATTAATTATCTCGAATTTCATTTAAATCGAAGTATCGCCCACCATGGTCGCACAAAAATTCCAGTGCCAAAAAAGTCGCTAAATCATTTCTTAATTGCTCAATTTGAAAACAAATGCGACCATTTAATTTAATTGTGTGGACTGTTAATTGAGTCGTAGTTTGGCCAGCCGATGCCTTTTATTTCGGCACGAATGCAGTTCCCCTGCGGCCACGCCCCTTGCCGCCCCCCGATACATTTGTTAGATAATGCCAGAGAAACTTGTTGTCTGTTTTCGGCATTTTTGGCCTGGCAATTAAATCCAAAAAAATACAAATAAAATGTATAAGAAAAAAGGAAACTGCGACAGTTTTCGGGGCTCAAATGCTCAGCTGCATTGCCGTGGGCCGGCGATTTTAATGATTTACTGCAGTAGCTGGACTTTACTGGCTCTCCCACTTTGGCAGGTGGGCCAGGCTAAGCGGTGTCGAAATTTGCATATATGCTATATATACTGTGTGCATTATGCGATAATGTGCAATAAACGTCTGCGAAATCGAAATTATGTCGCTTGCTTTCGGCATTTGAGATACAAGCCTGTTAACTCCGCCGATAAGTCGAAGGTTCAGAAGTTGCAACCATAAATCTTGAGAGCATTTGGCCGAAACGCATCATCAATCATCTGGGCATGCAGATCGATTATTACAATTGCCGACATACAGACAGAGAGACACAGAAGTGAGTTGGCGGTTGGCGGTTGCATCTGCGGGCCCTCATTTGTATCTGATGGATGTATCTGCGACAACCTCCTGCTGCTGCTGCTGTTGCATGTCCATTTCCGCGGAAAACCTCGGCACAGCTGCAGAGCAGCACAACATTTGCTCGTGTCAAGTCCTAAAACTTCCAAGAAAAGCTAAAAACCACTGGCCATGTTCTATGTATGACCAAAAACAAAAAAAAAAAAATATAAATGAACTAAAAAACTAAAGTCCATTGTCTGGCACAAAATTATTTTAATGAGTTGCCAATTAGGTCCGAAAGACCAGTGAAATAGATCAGTCAGGCAGAGGAACGGCTAATAAATACCTGTAAACTGTGAGTGAAATACCTGAAATCAGCCCGATTGCGTAGAGCGGTGAGCTGCGCACACCTGTTGACTGCCAGCGAGTGGCATAAATACGAGTTCGAGTTTATGGATAAAAGGGTTCCAGCCAACCCGTCCTCGGATGGAGCTTGATGTTTTAGCTATTTACGAGTCTTTTGGGGAATTACATTCGGATCGCAGCCTGACAGCATCCGACAGGCCAAAGTCCTTGGTCAAAAAAGGGGGAAATGCGGAGACTTGGAATGCAGATCTTGCATGCGATAAGCCACTGGAAATTTATGCAAGTGGGGCAGGGTTGTTCCAAAATAATTGTTAAAATTTATGGAAACTATATAAAAATATAAAAAAAATTTAAACCCTGAAAAAAATGTCTACTTTATTTGTTTTTACTTTTACTTGCTTACTAACAACCATAAAAAGTGTAGCCCAACATAAATCATAAACCTTTAAACCATATTTTAATGAAAGGAAATCCTCTCATGGGTAAGCATTTTCCCAACTCGAAAGTTGTTAATTTTAATGCAAATCAGCATAGTAATATATTTTCACTCTAGATTAGCTCACGCATAGAAGTCATGTGGCGATGCTCGACCACAAGTCAGTAAAATGCTTTATTTCTTTTCTCTCCACTGGTTAGTTCAATTAACAACTGGAGCTCGTTATACTCATTTCATTTTCCCAGCCTTTGTGTTTTTTGTTTAATATTTTTTGTTTAACACTTTCTGAGGCGCCGCTTATTAACGCGTTTCCTGCCAGCCCCGCCCACATCCTCAATTCAAGCGAAAATTGCTTTTCACTCGCTCCCATTCTGTTTGTTATTAATTACCCAGTTTCCAAAGACGTTACGCATTTACCAGTTTTCGAGGTACCGAGTTCGGGTTGCCTCTTTTTTTTTTTTTGGCCAATTGAATTATAACGAAGCGCAGACAATGAAAAAGGAAAGGAGTGCAGAAAAAACATAATGGCGTTTGCTTTCATTATAACACCGGGGCATAGTATAAATATTTAAGCAACTGGCAATGAGATAACAAACGATGAGGGGTTCTCCAAGTTTATAAGCGCGAAAATGGGGTCAAAGGCCAGAGGGCGGGGGGGGATTGGGAGGCGTGACCCAGGAGTACAAGGCAAATGTTGGTAGTCCATTCATCAGTTAATAGCGGCTAAATTACGTTCATTTCGCTGGCCACCCTCCTGTTTTTGTTTGTTAATGCCCTAGGAAAGAGTTGAAGGCGTTACAGGTGGAATTTGAGATACAATAGAGCTAAGAGGTTGAAAATTATAGAACTAAGGGGAAAAGGAAAAATTAAAGAGCTGAAGGAAAAGAAAACTTTCTTATAAAATGGGTCAATAAAAATACAGAAGCTTAAGGAGCAACAAAAGTAATAAAATATTTTAAATGTAAAGTAACCAATAAAAAGAAATATATTTAAAGAAAATGGAAACTAATTTTTTTAGTATATCAGAGTTTTAAGATCTCTGTTCCTTATTATTTGCAATATTATATAAGATATAAAGAGTATTAATATATCGACCTTGTCCCTTTTTCGCAATCTGTTTATTTCATCTTCAATTTCGCTTCGGCTTTTATCAAAAGGATATATAACACAGCGCAGAAAGGCTAAAGGCGGGTTGAAATATTTATATGCGTGTTGATTTCTGTTTGCTGAATTTAACCTTTTTCCCCTTTATATGGCCGACCGATGCCCACTTAGAGATAACGGACTAGGCGAAAAAGGGTCAAAAACGCAGCCGCATGTGCTGGGCAGTCGGAAAGAGATACCAGATACAAGATATATTTGGAGGATGAGAGATGGTAGTGCCCCCAACTTTTGCCGCCCCTTCACTACCATTTGCGCGCCTCATTTAACTGCGGTCATAAATATTCTAAATCACCAGCGGGGGAAGCGACGTTAACGGCGACGTCAGCCTCAAGTTGTTAAGATAATAAAGTTTGTAATTAATTTGGCATCGTTAAATGCCCGGTACATATGTAAGTGAGCATTTAAGAAAAGTTAAGCCGCTCTCCAGTTGAATTGAAGTCGCTGTATTTAGGAGAATAAACTTAATCGCCTACCAGTCACCACAGGTCGAGGCCTAATTGACTTCACTCACGAATTGAAGAGTTCCGTCTGCGTAAAGATAGATGGAAATACCTGTTGGATAACAAAGGGAAAGATACGTTTTACACAGGCCATTTCTAGATAAAACAGAAGATAGTTAATTTTTAAATTAAAATAAAAAAAATTTACTGTATTTTTAAACATGACAAGAAATGTTATGAATTTCGAAATAAATAAATAAGAAATTTAATTCCATTGGTTATACGGTTCTAAATGCGTGCGACCACCCTAGCCTTACTAAAATACATAAATTCACTTTGTAAATGTGTTAATATTTCATACTCCGCAACCTATTCATATTCATAACTTTTTATGAATTCATCAACTTTATCGCAATCGCTACATAAAAATTGCATAATCATAAAAGTATTGTTGGCCAAGCCGATTATCTAGTTATAATATGCTCATTACACACACATGTTTTAGATATATCTACGCTTATTTGCATTAAACATTTTTTGTGTGGCTTCCTCTTTTGCAGAAACCGCCGGCGAACTTGGATGGGCATTCACCCTAATCATAGTTTCAATCATATCGGCTCTCATAGGTGCTATTGTAATGGTCATAGTTCTAAGATGTAGAAGGTAAGTTAAATATATAACTATTCCATAACATTATATTTTAGGATCATATATTGCCTTATAAAATATTTCCAAGTAGGGAGAATTTGCTTAATGAAAAAGACTTTAATTTACAACCGATATTCCTTTCATTTTGGCGCTTTAAGTTATTTATGGCACCGCTGGTCATACATGGCAATTTCCATAAAACTTTTTGGGCCTTTCTTGAACATGTTCAATTGCAAACAATAAATAAATTCGACTCTTCCCCACGAGAGCTCATAAATTGACCGTTCAAAATTAATTGGCCAAAACAAGCGGCGCATAAATAAAAACGCAAATAATGAATAAACAGTCACATTTTGGCATTTAGCTAGAAAAATGCCGCAATTAGTCATGATAAAAAAATGCAAAAAAAGTCCACACATATGAGTTGCGATGAAGAGAGAAGAGGACATTCAACTCTTAACCCCTTGGCGACCCCAACGATCCGTCATGTTCCATCGACGGCGACATTTACAACGCCAGACAAATTGAATTTCATATACTTACGAGCACTTTTGTGGAGGGAAACCAACTGGCCAACTCTCGTATTTACGCGAATATCTGAGCTCTGGGATCTGTGTAACTATAAAGATTTACAATGCATTGCCCACACGGGCGGCACGAAGCGGCAACACCAGCAATTCAATTAAACGCCCACCAAAAAATAAATATAAACTCTTAAGTGAGTCAACGACAACAACGGTTGAGAATAATCGATGCCGAAAACAAAGGAACATGAAATTGCTTTATTACTTAATTGCTCTTTAAGCGAAACATAGAGCTTTGGCCACAGGCGTTCCTATATGGCCAAAATCGTTGTATCGAGTCTATCAAAAGGCCGTGGAGAGTGGGTCACACACTCCAATCGCCAGATATTTTGCGATTTCGAGTACATTTAAATTTGTTGGGGGGGAGGGGGATGCCTTTCAGAACAACACACGCGAGTGCCAAATTAACAGAAATCTTTGTCCAACTCGAATTGGCGGTTGCGCAGGCGCCGCGCTTGTTATTCGATTGCCGCCGTGGGCTTCCAGTTTGAAGTGGAAACGCTGGCCACATGTCGCGTCCAATTAAATTGTCATGTCGTCTTATTTGGCGGCATGTTTGCATAAAATTAATTTTGCAAATTATCCGCCCAGGCCAAATCAAACAAACGCGAAATGCAAACAGGAGTTGAAATGGAGTTGTTTTGATCGACGGCTGATTACGATTTGCCAAGGGAAACAAACTTGTTTTTATTATGATTGATACAAGCTGATGATGATTGGTTTTTAAAATGTTGTAGTAATAGATTAGTATTATTTAATGGGCAGTAGCTACCACTCTGGGGCTTTTAACAATCTTTGAAGTTCCATGAAGCAAGGATTACTTTCATACACCCCTTGGCTAGACAAAAAAGTCACAATATTTCATTTTAAATTGAGAATTTGGCTATAAAAAAATATGTTTTTAATTTTTAAATATTTTTATACTAATTAATTATTATTTTTTAGTTACGAGGTATTTTATATATTCTGAAGCAAAAATGTTTTTTAATTTATATGTAATTTATTTTAAATATTCATTTTCTAAAAACGAAATACACTCAGTTAAGGTAAAAAAATGTTTAAAATAATCCTTAAAATCTCAAATACTTAGTAATTCAAATATTTTGCAATTAAGTAACAGTTACAGGCATCAAAGAAATTATATAAAAACCTTAATGACTCCAAATTTCCCAATCATCTATTCAATTTTGCTGTATGCAAACTCACCTTTCCTGTGGCAGGTTGTCTCAATCAAGTGCCGCCGGACTCGTATTCTCACGCTTTTTGGACCAAATTTGATTTTGCATTAATCACCTGAGGACCCCCCTCACCTGGCCCCCTCTAAGCCCGAATGTCACGGTGTTTGCCTTGCCGTCAGCCTTAGTCACTCATTTTGGGACTCGTTTTCGCAACCGCTGCTCAGTTTTGCAGTCTGTCCGGCGGTGTGTGGAGCATGTCACGTCGTGGTCGGACGTGTTGGCTGCCAAATTAGCAGCAATTACATGTAATATCGGTTACACTTATTTGCATATTGATGCAATTCTCGATCTGGCCGTAATGGTGCTATAAATTTGCTTGGCACATGTTTCCACCAAGTCACCAGATTTGCATTTGTTTCTGTATTTCGTTTGGCCACCTTAAGTGGCACCTGCCATTCGGATTTTGTGCACTTTTTTTGACAATGTTTGCTCAACGTCTAGACGGGGTAATGTCTTTCCAATGGTCACCAGAGGCTTGTCGGAAAAATTTCAAAGTGCCATTGCAATTGAGTCTTGTTTTTGACACTTGGTTAATTTAAAGGATTGGAAAAATTGGAGTGGCTTTTAATTAGGCGGGCTGAGATTGCATAATGTATATTGAAAAACGATTTTAATTAACTGCTATGAAAACTTTATTAAAATGTGAAGCCTTCTAATTTTTTTTATTATTAAATATAATTTTATTAATTATAACATTGAACTGTTTTTTTTACATTTTAATGTACTTTAACTTTTCTTTTGAATTACTTTGTTTGATATTACCCACAATTATGAGTATTAACCTCTTTGATCGTTTTGACCCTTTTAATTTAATCTCTGCCTGAAATACTCCACCTTTCTATATCGATTTCGTTTTTCAAGAAAAAAATCCAAGGCCCGCTCCTCTAAAATTATTTTTAGTTTGTCTTTTAGTGTCGAAAAAAAAACAAAAGTCAAGTTTAAACCGCTTAATGCATTTAAGACACAAAAAGGCGTGTTCAATTAGCATGCAAAAAACTCGATCAACTCCAAAAAAAGCCATAAAAAACGATCGAAACTACAAGCGCAGAAAATTGAACATAACGCGACGAAGGAAAATCGCAGGAAAATAAGCTGAAAAACCCGAGCTAGGTAAATTAGCGCATAAGCCAAGGCCCCCGAGACAGCGGCGACTGCTTGTTCAATTTAATTGAATTGAGGAGAACAAAAACTACAACTGAAACTAACACTAAAAAAAAGAAAGAGAAAAACGAATTGGCAGTTTGGCTCGAGTTGAGTTAACATTATAATCGATCAAGGCAAAGCGAGGGGAAAATGCAGCTCATGCCGCACTGCACTCAATCAAATCGGACAGACGGTTAATTGATACGCACAGATCGAACGTATATATATATATCGAGGGGTATATATATGCCCATTTAGGCCCCAGGTTCGTGCCGTTCGATGTGACCCAGAAAAGCGGAGTCAGCAAGTGCAAATATGTAGTTTGGAGAGGGAAAATGACACGGATTGGAAAATGTGCTCCAGAAAAACAGCCTTAGAAAGCCATGGCAAAACACCTGCCAATTTGAGGTTGGTAACTCAAATCAGTCAGGCCCAAGAAATGCAGTCTTTCAGCAGATTTTAAATGTCAGCAGCATCCTCGCTGATTTGTTTTTTCGGCTCTAATCTAATCGCAACAAATGGCGAATGTGTTTCCCAGCAGCTGGATAATGCAATTCCCTTGTAGTCTGTGTATTTTTATCGCACCAACTTTAGATACTTGGTATTAGCTTAAAACTTTATCGACATGTCAGTTTGCGTCACACGCAACTCGCTTTTGAAGCATTTGCGTGGCCCAAGTTTGTGTCTTGAGTTATTCGTTTGCCCAAGTTTGTGTACTAAGTCATTCGTTTTGGCATTTGCCATTTTGTCGCTCGTCGAGTTTGACATTTACCTTATACTAATTTATGCCCGGCAGTCTATTTAAACTCTGTTTATTAATTGGTACACATTTTTCTGTTCTTATCTTTGCAGAATTAAATCAGCGAATGCCAATGGTAAGCGAACAAATGTTTTATTTACTCCAAGCTATTATTTAAATGAGGAGAATGTTTTGTTGGGGGTGATTAAATGTGTATCAGCAGGTTATATATAAATAAAGAGTTGTTAATGGTTTACTAACTAAGTAATTAAAATGCTAAATTAATTTAAAAAGGAACAGTTTGAGCAAAATTATTGATTTAACCAGTCAAACAGTTTTATTTAGATTCTTTTATTAATGATTTATTAAGTTTTTCTTTACAGACGCTTTTTAATTATTTTATTTAAATTTTTCTTTCCCATAAGAAAGTTTCAACCGTCGATTTCTGCCTTCAATATCTCACTTCCTTAAAAAAAAACTGATCACTTTGGCGTTTTTTGCCCAGTCTGATTAATTAGCCAAGCCAAGCCAAGTCAGGTCAGGTTTTTTGTTACCTCCGCTCATCATCGAGGGTCTTGTCTTCTTTTTGCATTTTCATTTCCATTTTTAATTGCATAATTCTGCCGTTGCATGCAATTCAAAGAAATCTTTCATTCTTGCGGACAGCAGTTCCCTTCTGTATTTTTTTTTACCATGGCAACATTTTAATTTGTTTTCTGCGACTGTGGCAGAAGGAAGGCAAAACCAAACAAAACTAACAAAATGAAGACAAATTTTTGACGACAATGCATGAACTTCACGTTCGTGCCACAAATCAGAGATGCTGCTGCTCCTCCTGCGGCACTTGAAACCGAAATCGAGTGCCACGGGGGATTTAACTGCCCCGGGCTACGTGCTGGCTAAAACTTTCGAGTAAAAGAAAATTTGTAGACAAATTAAGGCAAAGCCAAAACAATTGTCATGGCCGCAGACTTCGTCAAACACGTTTGAAAATCGTGCAGAATGGTTTGAGGAATGGAGGCACTTTTTGCTATTTTGATTTAGTTGCTCGACTCTCGATTCTTGCCGCGTCTCGTTGAGTTTGACTTTCGGCAGTAGGCGAATTATTGACAAACGATCCCTTTTTTTTCGGGTCGAAATCTTTCCCTTTTCTTCGGCCCCACTCTCTCTTTTTGTCTCTGGAAGGCTTGGCGCCAATTTCACTGTCCGTCTTGTGGGCCCGACAATCGACATGCAGGACAAATTGTTGACGGCATTTAATGTCACAGCAGCCAATTAGCTGTCCCCATGAAAATGCTCGTTTCTTGTTGGTTTCCTTATACTTTTTGTATTTTGCCAAAATGTTTTTGTTGCCCACTTGTTTTTTATTTTCGGCATTTTTCGTTGGTGGTACGCACGGTTGCATGTTGGGCCCAAGCGAAAAAAAAAGAAACAACCCGAGAAACAAACAATCGCCACAAATCGTTAAACTGTCAGCAGCTTTTAAAGCGCGTGATTATGTCCAACTCAACGTTCAGAGTTGAGAGACAAGCGCCAGTTGCCAAACAGTTTTTTTCGGATTTTTTCCGAGTTGTTTTTGTGCCCAAAGAGAAAATTTTCAATTGCCCAAAAATGCACATTTAAGTGGTGTTTATTTGTTGCAACATTTTTTTCGTAAAGGTGAATTTAAATTCAAATGTAGTGTGTGCAGTTTTTAAACTAGGCTTTTATTGGTTTCATTAAAAAGTGGTTAAACATTTTATTTATTTTTATATAAAAGTTTATTTACCTGGACATTTGCGTAAAATGAACATTAAAGTGGTTTTCATTGCAAGCTATATTTTTATTAGACTGAAAAGGTTTTACGAGATGGACAAAAAAATATTTTTTGAGTTCCTGGTTAACTAACGCTTGCTCAATAAATTAATTACACACCTTTTCCAAAAAAAAACCTTCAATATTTATCCCTCCGAAACACACCAACATTTTTTTCTAATTTACATATTTAAGCAATCACTGCTTGCAATCACAATAAATGGCAATTGCAACATTCGATGGTGTCAATTTCATAGGAAATTCTTTGAAATTATCTTTGAACAGCAGCCAACGTGTCGTATGCGTAACATGATTTTAATTATGCATACAAAGAATTCACGATAATCAAGCCGCACACAAAAAAATATATAAATAAATGAAAAATGATATGTGACATTTGTGTGCATTAAATGGGAAAGACGTCGTACTGCGATTGGCATTATCTGGCCGACTATTAAGACTTCATTACACATGTCATATTTGCCATTTGCCCAGCAACACAAAAAATAGGCGAAACCGAGCGTGAAATAACACAAATTAAATTCCAAAGCAAAAGTGCTCGTTAATTTTTCGTTTATTTATTTTTGATTTTGTGCGCTTTTCATCGGAACAAAAGTTGACTGCGAAATATTTTGTTAACAACAATTTGCCGTTTGCAGTTTGCTTGCTGCCGTTCTGGTTACTGAGATAAGCAGGCTAAGATAAGACAGTTGCGGTAGCTGTAAGATACAGTGGGTATCCAAAAGATATTTTTAGATTTACAATTTTTTGGACCATACGTTTTGTTTTCATCTCTGGATTTGAAGTACCTTAATAATTTTGCACAGGCTTACAGATAATATTTTAAAATTCCTACTGTTGAACATTCAAAAAATAATTCTTAGAATATCCATAGTTTTTATCTATAAAATAACAAATTTATTATAAATTTTTCTTTATTTTTTGGAATGTTTTCCTAACGTAACGTACGTAGGCACTTTCAAAACAATACCTTATAAAAAAATGTAACGATCTCGGAAAATCAAACATTTATTGTAGAGATATTTTTCTACAATCTTTAACTTTTAGTAAAAGTTTATAGGACTTGTCCCACTGTGCTGCAGCATTGGGAAACCCGAAAAATAAAAATCGTAAGTGCATTGCAGTTGCAGTCTTAGCTCAGTTCAAATCGCCTCGGACCGATTCAGCTGAGTTAGCTGTGCAGTAGCCGCGGCAACATCGTTAACACGGCGCAAAAACAGCCATTAAAGCCAAGTTCCAGTTGGAGCTGGGTCTTTGGATCTTGGAGTGGGTCTCGGAGTCTGGGACTTGTGTTTGCCGCATTGGTGACATGCACAAAATGCATGTATATGAGCACCTACGTACGATAACTTCGGTTCGGGGGTAATAATCGCCGCAGTCAAAGCCATTGCTGCTGGACATTCGCTTAGCCAGAGTACGTAAATCATAAGCATAAAACAGACTTCGACTCCGACTTGGCAATGCAAAGTGCACAGGGGGAAAAGTTTGGCATATGCAAATATCTGCTATAAAAAACTAATTTAATTCGATTGGGTGTAATTTGAAATTAAATTGAAGGCAATTGAACGTTTAGTAAATACGTAATTGACTTTACATTAAGTTTTAGATTCGCCTTAAAAATAGCTATTAATATATATAGGGTATATACTTAGGGATAGATATAAATAAAATTCAAAGAAATATATTTTTCTAAAATTAGACGAGATGTTGTAATATACCTAAATTTGATTTGATCTGAAATATGTTATATACATTTATGAATATTCTTTTTAGTATAACATCTATGTCAGATATAGAAGATTTTGGTAACGATTTAGATACTGACAAAAATAATATGTTCATGCAATCATTGATACAACACTTTTTTTAATATTCTTGTTATTTTTAAAAATACCCTAATATTTTTCTAAGTGCATTTGAAACTGCATTATGCATGTACATAACTTGGGAAACCATCGGTCGCACTGTCGCTGCCGTTGCGTATGCACCACGCTAATTAGCTGGATCGCCCCAAGTGGCTCCATCTTTTCCAAGTTAATGAGAGTGAAAGGCGAGTTAAAATAAATATATAAAAAAATATATAGACATATTTGCGAGCTACGGCTAGGCAAATTAACTGGGGATGAGTTGGAAATTGGAGACCATGGCGGATGTTTGGTTGTTGAGAACAGGTCTACTTCGTTTACTACCGGCAATTATACGTGTTTGCGTACTGCGATTCTCATTGAGCGTTTGGCGTTAGTTGTCTATAAATTATGAGCTTAATGACGGCCATAGTTTTTATGGAATCCCGGCTATTTGGATTTTGAGTGCCTTTCAGCTCGCCGTTGAGTCACACACAGAGAGCTCCCATTAACCTTCCCATGCCCACTTGGGCATTATGAGATCACATGTGCTGATAGCGGAAAGGAGAAACATTTGGCATTTTCGGCCACTTGGTTGCTGCCACCACTGCCACCAAAAGCTGCACCACTCGGTGGTGCAGTATGGCAGTGGTGCAGTTTGTTTGCCACCTCGCTGCCAGTTGACAGCCGTTTAATTTACGCTTTGTTTGTTTGTTTGTTTCTGTCTTTTGTTCGCGTCCTAAGGTGAATGTTTGATTTATCGCCCGATTATAAACCGAAATGTCATAGATTTCTGCTGCGTTCGATTCGGCTTGGTTTTGCTAAACTATCCTCCCTCAAGAAAATCACAAAATTTATCTAATCATTAGTGGTTGTACTTCACTTTCAACAGGTGATTATTGAGAAAAGCTTTGAAAACTCTTTATTTGTTTAAAATATATCAAGAAAAAATCTAAATCTTGCAGATATTCATATGGATTTTTTTCGATTCAGTGATACATAAATTAATCTAGAAATGTTTAACAAATTATTATGATTTTTTGTTATTAATTATAAAATATTGTAATAGATACACCTAATTAAATCCAAATTTGCTACCAGATTTTCATTTATTATTTAAAGAAGCAAGTGTCACAGATAATCCGCGCAAATGGCAATTGTAATTTTCGTTGAATATGTAGCTTGTGCAATTATCTCCTACCGGGGGACAACGTGTCGTATGAGTAACATGATTTTAATTAAGCAAACAAAAGATAGCGAACTCGTGGCTCACCCCTCTGTTCTTTCCCCTTGCAGGTGGTCGCCCGCAGCCTTGGTGGTGTCGCAATAACCGAAACGGTGGCCAAAACCGATCGCCCATCTCGATCAAGCACTCGGCGGACAGCATCCGGCGGCCCACGAGCAACTCCGGCGTCTGGACCTGGCTGGGCGGAAGTCGCCGCTCCTCCGCCGGTCCCGACCAGATCGGTCCGCCATCGACGTCGCCGGCGGAGAACCACTACACCCACATGGACGACGCCTACAGTCCGGTGGGCGTGAGCGAGGCCCTCTACGCGGAGCTGGACCGCGAGTCCGTGCGATCCGCCAATCCCTCGTACCAGAATACGGCCTACAGTCAGTGTGGCGAGGTGAGTAGTCTATATCTTGGGGTCTTTTAAATAATAATATCATATAACCATTAAAATAAAATACAAAAATAAGTATTTTCTTTAATAATTAGTTTTAAATATGTTAAAATCTACAATGCATAACATATCATGATATTTATTGATCCTACGAAAATTAATATCATAAAACCTTCAAAATAAAACAAATTAAAATAATTTTGTTCTGTGAAAACTTTTAGATACATTGAAATTTACAATTTTTAACTTTTTATCATAACAAAATTAATCCAAAATAATGCGAAAATTGTATATACATAGTAACATCCTCTCAATATTTTATTGGCTTAGATTAAAATCTAAGAAACTAAAATGTATGGGATCTTTGGGTTCCTAAATTACTTATAAAGGGAATATAATTTTTCGTTATAAAAAATAAAATTTTAATGAATCTATAAAATAAATATTTTATAAGTAAAGACAAAAAACTATAGATGGTATTTTTTATGATATAGATAATATTCCATTAACTATTAATTCCATTAATTAACAGCCTAAAGTGTTTTAGAACACAGCTTCTCTAAAATACTATCAATGGAAAAATATGTTTTCCTTATAAATTAAACAATTTAAAAAACATTAAAAAACCGAGATAGTCTAAAATTCTTTGTAAAAGTTCTCTTGTCAAAACCAAGAGAGATAGTCTTTTGCCCACAACCTTAACTAAAACCTATAAATTCCAATCTAATCCTGGAGTCCTGCTCTTTTCCCCATTACAGAAATATAATTACCAGGGCCACGAGCAGGACATTCCCATGGTGGTCTCCTCGGCGCCGAGCAGTGCCTACTACTCGGACCTGTCGGTGACCGCGATGCCCGGCGGAGCGAGTGGCAGTAATCAGGGCGCCTACGAGATTGTCGGACTGAACGTGATGTCCCAGCCGCTGCCCAACTGGGATCACCATGGCGGCGGGGGAGGAGGCGCCGTGGCCGGTGGAGCTGCAGGAGCAGCGGCCGCCATCCTTGGAGCGGGCGGTGGCGGGGGCAATGGCCTGACGCCCGGCGAGGCGGCGGCGATGACGCAACGACGAGGTCCTCGACTGGCGGCCATCAACGAGACGAGCACCAGCACTGTGCCCTCGGACTATGTCTAAAAATATATATATATAAAAGTTTGAAATACAAATAATGTGAAATGTTCAGCGAGCTTAACACGTTAATGGGATATAATCGTACGTTATATACACCCCCCTAGTTATAAGGTTACATTTATATTATATTTAACACTTGTATACCACTTAGTGCTTAGCGTGGACTCGTGTCTTTGGTTTATGTCTGATTTGTAATCTGAATACGTTACCGATATAGGGATATATTTATACACACTTACAAGGCGAGAATGTATTATATGTCTAGTTTTTATATAGTCTCTAAGCAACGATTTAATCGTGGGTGATATTTAGCCTAAAAATATGCTATATTCTTATGTTCTGTGTACTTTAAACATTTTCTAAAAATGTAAAAACGACAACAAACGCATTTTTCATAGGCTAAGATAGGTGACGATGAAAAAGGACAAGAAATCGTATTTCCCCCCAGGATCAGTACACGCAAATATAGAAACGATATATACATACGAATACAACATATTTATACACTCAATATTTACAGCAGCCGAAAACGCATTTAGCTCACCAACATATTTATATAAATAAATATCTATAACAATAACTGAGGAATCATATTTACAACGATTTTAACGCAACAGATTTCACCATATTTACCGGGGGAAAAGATCGTGGCACTTCATATCATTTACCACACCATTATACATATGTATGCATAGCTATCTATATACTATACCATATACAATAAACAGACTCACGACCCTTAGCAGATGTACTTTAGTTCTTAGTGACTCTCGCCGGGATGCGAATCCTTGGCTGATTAATTTAATAACACGCAAGCAAACACACACACACAATTCCTGTACATTATTGTTTTAGTTGAAAATATAATTAAACAATTGCTATTTACATTCTGAATCCCAAATGGAAGTGTTTCTTTATTGGTGGAATATCATATTGTATAGTAAGTACAATGTCATATTGTTCAGCAAGTATTTTAATTCTTAAATTTATTATTGTCGTACAGTAAGTACAATATCATGTTGTTCAGTAAGTTTTTAAATTCATGAGTATTTTATTGTCTCTTTGAATAAATATATAATTTAAAAAATTACAATTTTATGGCAAACATATTTTAAATAAAATTATTTTAAACACAAATATATTTTACATAAATAAATAAATTATTTTAAAAAGTATCAAACAACAAACAAACACATTTTAAATAAAGTTTTTTTTAAATAACAAACAACAAACTTATTTTAAATAAAATTGTCTTAAAAAGTAACAAACACAAATATTTTGACGTAGCCGGAACAATAAATTATAAATTATCGAAGAATAGGTGTATAGACCTTAAATTGCATAAGATATATATTATTAGATATTACTACATTTATAAATGTAGTTCATCAGGATATGAGTCAATTTAATTCTGTTGATTATTTTTATAATTAGATATTCATTAAGATATGAGTGTATTTAATTTCGTTGATTTATTGTCATGAAGGTAATCGAAATAGCATTTTAATCCATGCTAGTCACTTGCATGATGTATATATATACTGTCTTCTGAGCACCATCCAATTCGTTGATTTTGCGATGAGCTCGCAGGACAGATGGTTGTATAAACCGTATAAACCTCTCGCCGCACTTTTGACCCGTTTTGGTCATCTTGTAGTAATTTAGTCAATGTAATTCCTTTAATTATTGTCATAATTGTATAAAGGTAATTGAATCCATACTATTCACTTGCATATCCTAAGATATATATCATTAGATATGATTACTTTAAGATATGAGTGTATTTAATTCCGTTGATTTATTGTCTTGAACGTTATCAAAATAGTATTTTAATCCATACTAGTCACTTGCATTTCATAAGATAGATATTATTAGATATGATTACATTTATAAATGTAGTTTATTAACTCCGTTGATTTATTGTCATGAGGGTTATCAAAATCATTTAAATCCATACTAGTCACTTGCATTTCATAAGATATATATCATTAGATATGATTACATTTATAAATGTAATTTATTAAGATATGAGTGTATTTAATTCCGTTGATTTATTGTCATAAAGGTAATTGAAAGGGCATTTTAACCCATGCTTGTTATCTGCATGATAGTATATGCTGTCGTCTGATCCTGATTCGATTCGTGGATTTTGCGATGGGTTCGCAGGGCAGATGGTTGTATAAACCTCTTGCCGCAATCATGACACTCAAAGTTCTTCTCGCCCGTGTGGGTCATCTCGTGGTACTTCCTGGTACCCGAGGTGGCAAATCTCTTCTCACAATAATTGCAAGCGTAATCCCGGGCCTTTTCATGAATGGCACGAACATGCTTATTAAGACTCGTCGAACTATTGCAGACTTTGGGACATTCCTTACAGGACCAGGTCTTTTCCAGAGTATGGAAGTTAATGTGGAGTCGAAGCTCATTCTTTGTTGTCTTCTTCAGTCCACAATAGGGGCAGCTATAGTTCTTAATACCCTGATGGCGCATCATGTGGATCTTAAGCTTCTCCTTGGTATAGAATCGCAAAGTACAGTCCTGCATTTCGCAGGCATAGGGCAGCACCATCTGATCGTCATGTGTGAACCGATGCTGATTAAGGGCGGATGCGTTCTTAAACACCCGGCCGCAGAATTCGCATATGTGTGTTTTTATAGGTTTGCCTATATCATGGGCCTTGCTCAGGTGGTGTTGGAGCGAAGTCTTGTGCCGGTACATCCTGTTGCAGCCCTCCTCCATGCAAACGAACCGAGTGCTCTCCTCCGAGTGCCATAGCTCGTGTTGCCTCAGGCTTTCGTAGCGGTTGAACGCCTCGCCGCATCCCGGCTCCGTGCAATGGTACAGCATGTGTCCTTCGTGCTCTTTCTTGTGCAGGAACAGACGTCTTTCATCCTTAAATTCATCGCTGCAGATATCGCACTTGAATCTGAGTTGCGAGTATTCCTAAAATCAAAAGGGACAATTAAGTAAAGGACACAAAAGGTTATCGGGGGTGCCACAGAAGTCGCAGAGTGTTCATTCGACGTTAGATTCTTATGTAATTCAATATAAATTAGGGGTGAAGTGATTTCTGTGACACCCCTGTATGCTCTAGTTTAATGATACATTCAATCGTATGTGTAGAAATCTAATATACCAACTCACATCCTTAGCTTTGGTTTGGGGTTCTACTTTTTTGGTGGTGGTTTTCTGCATCAATGATGGGGATGAATTTTCGGGACTCAAGTTTCTATCGCAAATAATTAACTCTGGGGCTTCGAAGAGGGGTTGGATCACCTGAACTTCCTCCAGCGCCTCCTCGCTTTCGTGCATGTGCTCCAGCTGCTCCACCAGGTCCTCCACCATGTGCGTCAGCTCCTCCTCCTCCTCCTCCTCGTCGTCATCTTCCACCTCAAGAACGGGGTTTCGCCGGTCGATTTTCTTCTGGCTACACAGACTTATCTGTCGCCACTTTCTATCGGCTATAATGCACAATGCCCGGAAGGAGTGGAACTTCTCTAGGAGCTCGTAGCACTCGGAGCAAATCTCACTGGGAAGGATGTCCTGGTCGTCGGGATCCACTACCAAATTGGTGCATTCGGAAAACTTGACGGCCAGGTGTGGCTGGTGCAGCAGATTGTAGGCCTCGTCGTCGCTGGCCACTCCGCAGGAGCACACGCGGCACTTGTCCAGGTGACCCATTGAATAAATTAAAGTTTTTGGTTTTTTTTTTTTGGGATCTAAAAACAGTTGAGTTAGGAAGTTGAGAAGGAAATAAACTAAAATTGGCGAGCAAATTTCTTATCTACTGCTCTGCTTCTTCTTATATGTATGTATTGTTTGTGCAGAAAACAGCTGATAGGGCTGGCGAAACTATCGTTGATAGTGATGGGAAAAAAAAGAAATCGTGACTTAGGAGTGGCAAATAAATGTAATCAAATCATGTAGAAGTTGAAAACCCGAAAAATAGTAATAAAAATAAAACAAATTAAATTATTCTTTCTATGATTGATATAGAATTAAATATATTCTCTTTATTTTTGATGTAGAAAAAGTTTTTTTTAGTTGCAGATTATAAAATTATTCTTATCAGTGACTCATTCCCCGGCGTGACTCACCCGTTGCCCATCCCTAGCACCCTTTCAAAGTTCCATCTCTAATGAGGGTGTATAAAAAGTTGTGTTGCAGTTTGTTGTATATTATTTTTGAGCAAAAGAATGGATAATTCGAATGGAATCCACTATATTGAGCTATCCCCCAATCCCATACGATTCGATGCTGTGAGCCAGCTAACAAATGTGTTTTTCGATGACTCCAACAAGCAGGTACAGGGAAAACAAGTTACCAAAATGAATTAAGAGGTGCTAAAACTATATCTTTCAGATATTTGCTGTTCGTTCTGGCGGAGCGACGGGTGTGGTGGTGAAGGGACCCGGAGCCACCGAGGACACCGTCATCTCCTTCTGCATGAATGACCGCGGCGGAGCTATACGTTCCATTAAATTCTCGCCGGACAATCAAGTCCTGGCCGTTCAGCGAAAGGAAAATGCCGTGGAGTTCATATGTTTTCAGGGGGATCAACCTCAGCTGCAGGAGATCATCACCCACCAGGTGAAGACCATGATCCATGGCTTCGTGTGGGTCCACAATCGAGAGGTGGCTTTGATTTCCAACACAGGTGTTGAAGTCTACACCGTAGTTCCGGAAAAGCGACAGGTGCGCTCTGTAAAATCCCTAAGCATTGGGATCAAGTGGTTCGCCTGGTGCTGTGATGCCAATGTGGCTCTGCTCTGCACCACCGAGGGAAACTCCCTGATTCCGGTCCTGGTCAAGCAGAAGGTCATTACCAAGCTGCCCAAAGTGGACTGTGAGTGGATCATATACTTTTCTTCGATCTTTTCCTATAACTCTCCCCAAATCGTACCTTTCAGTGGGCAGTCCAAGTCGAGATGTCCAGGAGAGCAAGGTAACCTTGGGCCAAGTGTACGGCGTGCTGGCCGTGCTTATTCTGCAGTCAAATAGCAGCTCTGGGCAGATGGAAGTGGAGGTGCACCTACTCAATGGACCTGGTTTGGCGCCGCGCAAGTGCCATGTCCTTCGCTTGAGTCTTGTGGGTCGTTTCGCCATCAACACGGTGGATAATCTGATTGTGGTGCACCACCAGGCTTCGGGCACGTCGCTGCTATTCGACATTTCCCTTCCGGGCGAGGTGATTAATGAAATAACCTACCATACGCCCGTAACCCCAGGACGCTCCATTAAACCTTTTGGCCTGAAGCTACCCTCGCTATCGCCCGATGGACAAATCTTGCAGTGCGAGTTGTGTGGGTATTATAAATGGCCACCTAAGTCCTCGATTTGATCATTAATCCCTTGCAGATTCCACCCACTGGGTACTGTTCCAGCCGAATATTGTGATCGATGCCAAGTTGGGCTGCATGTGGTTCTTGAATCTCTGCATAGAACCTTTGTGCCAACTTATTGCCGATCGCATTCGACTTACGGAGTTTTTGCTGCAGCGCAGCAGTGGCAAACAAATGCTGTTAAAGGTTGTGGGCCAGTTGGTTGATGATCAGTATAAGGGAACGCTTCTGCCAGTGCTAGAGACCATCTTCAGCAGGATTAACAAGATATATGCGTAAGATTCCGGTCACTTAGTAACATACCTATTCTTCAAATACATACATTTATATTTCAGCTCCTGGGTTCAGTTGGAACTGCAAAATCAAACCGCTCAGCCCTCGAATGTTAAGACTTCCACCTTAAAACAAAGCACACCGCCCATTGTGCTTATCGAGCAAATCGATATGGTACAGATCTTTCAGCGGATTGCTCGTCGGCCGTACACGGAATCAATTCTGATGCTATACTTGCAATCCCTAAACAAGTTTAACATTGCCGCCCAAGAGGAGCTGAGCAAGATGATCATCAGCGAGCTGATCAACAATCGCAGCTTCGACACTTTGCGGCGCTTGGTCAGCTATTCAATGCTGCTGGAATCCAAGTCGGTGGCTTGTTTTCTGCTGGCCCATTCGGATGTGGATACGGCCATATCCCAGGTGGCCATTGATATGCTGGGCAGGATTCAGGCACATGAGGTGGGCAGTTATAAATTATAATAATATCTTCCGTTGTACTTATACTTTGATTATTTTTCAGATCATAATTGAAGTTATGCTGGGTCAGGGCAAAATAATTGATGCCCTGCGACTGGCTAAAAACTCGCTGGGACTGGATAAAGTGCCAGCTCGCAAGTTTCTGGAGGCGGCTCACAAGACAAAAGATGATCTCATCTTTCACAGCGTTTTCAGATTCTTCCAAATGAGAAACATGAAACTGTATGAGACCTTATCTTTTCCCAAGGGTAAGCAAAACATTTTTAAATTTAAATTGTGCAACATTTTTAACTTATTTTTTTCAGCTGAACAATGCACGGAGTTTATACAGCATTATAACAACACTTTTCCTGCGGATAATCCTGCCAGAACTCCAATAAGTTAGGGACAAGGGGAGAAATTTGTAATTTGTGATTATTGTAGTTAAAAGTGTGCTTGAAAAGTATGCATATACTTTTGTATTATCTATATTTCTATGTAAATTATAGCTTTTGAATTCATTAATTATTTTATACAAAAATAAACTATTGACTCAACCAATAATGGAAGCCTTCCCATAAAAATTCGGAATTATCATGCAATTTCTTTACTTACACATACGATACATAGAGTTGTACAATAAATACATAGAGGAATAATTGGAATATACAAACAAATACGAAGCAAGCTAAGTGAATCGCCTTGGCGGTGCCTTTAGCTGCAACGCCCCCATTTCCAGGGACGAGGAAATGCTGATTAGATTTCTGCTTGGCCGCGGCAAAACAAGACTTTGATCCGGAATAGTTGTAAAGCACCGTGGACACTCTTCGAACTGCGTCTCCGCCTCCTCCATGCACTCCTCGTGCAAGCCATGACCACATCCGCCCAAGATTAGCACCTGGCTGTGATCGTACAGCCGCTGGCGGCACACGGAGCACTTGGTGGTGGTCACCCAGAGGCCACGACGCGCGTGTCGGAAACGCTCCGCAAACTGGAGGTGAAGACTTTGGCACAACATACCAGCGGAATGTCGCAAGCCCTCCGTTTGATGCCGCGAACTATCCAGCATTCCCATCAGCAGATCCTTAATATCACCAAAGCTACTCGACACATTGTGGGTATTCATGATCAATTGCACCAAGTTGTGCAGATCGATATGCTGCGAGGCTTCGTGCAGCAGAGATTTGGTGATGGACTGCAGCTCCTGGAGGGGCAGAATATATTGCAATAGAACAAACCAACAGCGCTCCAGTTCCTGAGCTGGCAACGTAGTCACAGACCGACCCAGAAGAGCACAGATTTCCTGCGCCTCCTTGGCAGCTTCTTCGCCAGCGGCCGATTTCAGCAGATCCATGGACAAGTCGAAGGCTTTCGCATAGCTCTCCTGCATTTCATACAGATAAATCACAGATCGGTTTAGGTGATGGCTTTCAGCTATGGCAATGGCCTTGTCCAAGCGATAGCCCGAATTGCATACAAGGAATTCTTGGACAACAGCAGCAGATTCCATTTTACAATACAGCTCGAATAGCAACTCCAATTGACTGGCTTCCAGTTCACTTCTACGATCATTGAGGCACTTGAGGAACACATACAATAAAGCCTCCTCCCTTCTCAGCAGATCTAAAAGCTCATTAATCTTTTCGGGATAGTGCAAGGCCAAAATGCGAGTAGTTTCCTTGGCATTGATCTTTAGCAGCTCTTTAAGATGCCTTCTCAACTGCCGGTAAATGTATCTCTCTGGAGTAGCCACATGGCGCTCCATATAGGCAAACATGGTCTCATGCCTGGCTTCGTTTCGGATGTAGCAGTCCAGGATGGTATCGTATCGCTCAAGCTTCTCCAGCAGGTATTCCACCACACAATAGCACCTGGCCCGCTCTGCCAATTCCAGCTGCTCCTCATCACTGCTGATCTCTGCCAGGCAGTTGGAGGATAGCAGCTCATGCCAGGCGTTCTCCCGCTCGGAATGTTGCCGACTGCTCTCGTTGGCAATCTCCTCCTGCGCCAAGTGACTCAGGACTCGTTCCAAAAGCTGCCTGTCACGCGGCAGGCACTGCATAGAAATCTGCTGGGCAATGAAGTTCAGTAGGCAACCAATCTCCGCCCACTGAAAAAGGAAAATGAATTTGTTATTGACAGTAATCCATTATTGTTAGTAACTAAACTCACCGTTGCATTCTCGGGCGACATTATCTCCAGCAGCAGATTGATGATCCTCTTGCGATGCGAGAGTCCTAGTTCGTGGCTAAACTCTCGTTCTTGGAACGCCAGCGATATCACGTTTAGCGTTTCCCGCGTGTCGAACTTGAGAAGAGCTCTAAGATACGGATAGGGCATCTCATCTCCGGCGTTCTCCTTGGATTGCTGCGAGGTCAGGCAACGCAGGACATCGTGCTTGACTTGATGCACCAGCTCCACGGGAATTTCTCCGCTGGGATAGCCCCTGCCTGCCAGACAACTAGACACGTAGACCAGCAGGCAGTTGCCCAAATCCGTTTCTTCGGGAGTCACCAAGGGCAGCAGCTCCGTCAGCGCCGCCGTGTAATCATTCAAAGCTTGGGTGTTGAGGTAGATCTGCGCTCTATACAAACGATGCTTCTTCACAGCCTTCAGCACCTGGTTTAGGTCCAGGCACATCCAATCCAGCTTCAGGATGAGCTGCTCCAGTTTGGCAGGCGAGTGCTCTAGCCAGTAATCCACCAAAGCTTGGGAGATCACGGGATTTACACTATGAATCGTTTCCTTTTCTATGTGCTCGGAAATGTGCTGCAAGAAAAGTTCAGTGCTGCTGTTGTGCAACTTTTCCCACAGCTGCGTCCAGAGGAGGTCGAGTTCACCCACGGTTATTAAGCAGTTGACAATGGCACCGAGACAATAGTCGGGTGCCCGGGCGGAATTGGCGATGTACTCTTTGAAGAGCATGATGATACGCTCTTTGGCTTGGGCACGTTTCCTGGGACGATCCACGGAGGCAAGGTAGCCATCCAAGGCTAGTTGGCAGGCTTCTTGCCAGCGATGGTGTTTCACCTGTTCGGGAAAGATTTAATGTTTTAATATGTTTTTGAAATCCCTAATTATGATATCACCAGATAGCTAATCCTCTCCGACCAAGTCCTAACTCCAATAATGTGCAGCGATCTGGCTCCCAAAACATACAGCTGCGTTCCTCGTGAAACCACCGAGTTATAACACGCATTTGAGCCGGCTAAAGCGAAGGCAGGCGACACATTTCCACCGGTAGCCAGTCCTTTGAACTGCGCCGATCCGTAAACCAATCCCGCATTGGCCATATCCATGCATTCTAGTTCCTTACTGGATCGCACGTCCACCAGGTGAAGAATCTCCGCCGTGTCCAGCGAGGCAACGCACTTTGGTCCCAACCAGTGGGCAGATAGAAGGCTTCCTTGGAGCTGGACATGGCGTAGATACAAGAGAGTGATCCTTCCATTCGAGACGAAGAGTTGGTGAAAGAACAATTGATTTCCACGGCCCACAACAATCACGGGATCCACGGAACGGGAAGTATCTGCCGCTTGTATGAGGACCAAATGCCAAGCGAGAAGGGGCAGGCAATCTGGAGGTCCCTGAAGCACATGGTACTTGATGACCCTTAATCTTGGTCGTACGGTGACTATAAAGTACTTGGACAGCGTGGCTAAGGCTACAATGCAGTATTGATCCAGTTCATGGCGACCTTGGGCATCCATTATCAGGGGTTCCACGGCACAGACTTCCCCGCGAGCGCCGGAAAACAGGCATCTAGACTGGCAGCCCCGGATGCCCAGTTTTCGGGTGAAACTAAGCGACCATACCGATCCACCCGCATCAGCACACAGGGCTAGAGAGGATCTGGAGGTCCATTTGACGTGTAGGACGCCTGTATTGGGGGTTATCACATCGAACAGCTCTCGCAGGACATCTCCTGTGTGAGTGTCCATCATGGCAACCAATCCTCTGGAGTAGCCGGTCAAAAGCCGAGTGGAGTCTGCATTAAAGGCCATGCTGGCCACCGCACCCTGGCCATGCTTGTCCTGGTGGGCCCACTTAAGCGTTTGGGTGACGTCGAAGTTCAGGATGTGTCCGTGGGAAGTTCCAACGGCTATGAAAGCGGCCACGGCACAGGAACTGGCTGCTCCGGCATTCACACGTTCCGCGGCGGAGGAAAGTTGGGCGGAGATGCCGTGTAGTAGCGTATATCTCATAATGGAACCTCCGCCGCCTCTGCCATCCGTCCTTATCGTGGAATCCTCGCCTATGGAGGGCGTGGGCGTGGCATGGGGCACCGGCATGCCCAATTCGGAGGCCACATCCGAATCCGCCTCAAATTCACTGAGCACGGCCTCCAAGGTGGGCAGCACATCGGTGGGCGGTATGGCAAACTCGGCGTCATCCAGCTTTAATGGGTTAAATCAAGAGAAATCGTTAATTGGGTTAATATCTTTCTCGGGGGTAATCCCCACTCACATCCTCGAAATCCAGCTGCAGAGATTCGGCCAGCAAGCTGTCCGTGGAACCGCGCTCCGATTCTAGCAGAGATTGCAGCGACGGGGCCTTCAGCTCCGACATGCTCCCGGTTCTTTCCTGGTCCAGATCCCTCCCCCGAACTTAATTTTTAAGCGATTTTGTTTTTATCAATGAGTTTTTACGCCCATCAGAGGACTGTCCACTCGCTCGCAAGCCGGAATCTTCAGTTCTTATCGGGGTTTCCTATCGATGTTTTTAGATAACACTACATTTTGAATTGCAGTTATTATAGAACCGGACTATAAAATAATAATGGAAATGCAAATTTTTATATAAAGAAGCCCAATTTAAGGTGTACATTTATACATACTTCTTGAAATATGTAGTGCCAAACTTAAAGCTTATTCCTGATTAATTTTCAAATTAACAATTGTTTTTTTTTGCTAGTTTATGCTATACAAATAACTATACGGAACTAATTTATGCTAGCAAAAAAACATTGAAACATTTGTGGAAACAAATACATTAGTTTCGCTCTTTTAACATGAATATAGATACAACGCTTAAACTGTAAATATACATAAAAAATTTCCTACACAAATCTGTGTACATTTACATTAATTAAAACTAATCTTATTAATTTTTGGTTATAAATTTGATTGACATCAGCAGTTGAGCAGTTCTGTTAACATTTGAGTTTACAGAGCGCCAGAACTGGCTTTAACTATCGATAGTATCAATATATTCTTTTTGGTATATAAAAGTAGTATAAAAAGAATTTTTCTCAAAGCCGGACGGTATTTTGTCTTGGCATCCCCGCGGTCACACCGCCACTTACGTTCGCATCTTCCATCTCTTACGTTACGACACTTACGTTTTGCCGACCCTTACGTTTTGTTGGCCAGTTTGTTTTCATCGAAATTCTCATCTTGCATCTCCCTTTTTCACTGACACTTACGCTGAGGCTATCTCCCTTTTTCACTGACACTTACGTTGGATTACGTTTTGCTGACACTTACGTTCACGACACTTACGCTGAGGCTGTCTCCCTTTGCCGACCCTTACGTTTTGTCGGCCAGTTTGTTTTCAACTTTCAT